AAAACAAAACAGACAGCAAAATGCATCCTCCCAGAGACTGGATTTTATACACCTAGAAACCAAGAATTTAGGAATGGATAAAGATGTTGGGTTCCAAGAATTAAGAAGAAGCAACAGGAAAACCAGAAGAATGACAGATCTGGAAAATGCAAAGAAAAGAAGAAAGCAGGTGGGAACGCTCGGCCCAGCCCCTGAGGAGGAGCACCTGTCTCCTGGAAGTAGAGAGCAGTTTTGGGGATCAGGCCTCCGGAAGGTCGGACACTAAGAAAAGCCCCAGCTATCACACTGAGCAGGTCGAAGAGGGACGTAAACATCCAACAAAACGCTCCCTGAAGACTTGCCCGGGGGGAGTTTCTGCCCTGACTGATCCTTCACCCAGCACAAAACCCGAGAAACAAGGCCACAAGAGCCCCCACCTCTCACTCCCCAAAAGCTGATCTCGGGACACTGAGGTAGAGGAAGCCCAAGCAAAGAACTCAAAACCCAACAAAGAAATTCTCGAGATGCAAGAAGAAACTGGGCAAATTTGTAAGATGCATAACAGGCTCAAGGAGGGTTTAAACAGATGAAGGATTTTGCCAATCAAATGGCCCAGGAGCTCAGGCATTAACAGCAATAAGCTGAGCCAAGGAAGAGCCGGGGATTTAGCTCAGTGGTTCTGTCACCTACGCCTAAGTGCAAGGTCCCGAGTTCGATCCCCTGTACCAAAAAGAAACAACAACCCCCCCGTCAAAAAAGCCAAGAAAGGCAGTACGAGACAGGAGTGACCACTCCGGGAACGAATTAGAAGTTACGGGGGGAAACCGGGATGGAGGATGTGACATCAAGTGACAAACATGAGTGGCAGGTGATCAGCGGAAGACAGAGGGTCAGAAACAGAACACAAGTGGGTGTCGCCCATCGCAGACCCAGGACACCCTAAAAACAACATTGTGAAAGCAGCGCCAGACAGCTGCTAGACCACTCAAAAGCCCTCAGAAATACAGGAATAAGGAGAAATTAGAAGACGACTCAAAAGGTATTGTAAAACATATTTGCTGAAATCATAGTAGAAAAAAATTCTACATCTAGTGGAAGAATTCAGTATTCAAGTACAAGAGGCATACAGGACCTAAGGAGCCGTGAGCAGAAAGGACCTGTCGGCTACACATCTCAATCGAAATTCTAGAAATTCAACAAAAAGGATACTAAACGCTGTCAGAAGAAAATAGCAAGTAACCCATACAGGCAAGCACGTCAGAGTAACTGCAGACGCCCCGGCACAAACGTCACAGGCCGGGAGAGCCTACAGCGAAGTATTTCAGGCCCTGAAAGAAAACAGCTGTCAAAAAGAAAAGCAAATGGCAGTCCAGACTTTTATATTACGCAAAACTAGCCTTCAAAAGACTTAACAGAGCCCTACACAGAGAGGAGGAAGAGCCCGGAAGACAGCATGCCGCTCACTGGACGGGAGTGCAGCAAGAGGAAGACGTAAGGAGTCGGCACTGGAGAGAAACGCAGTGGCGGGATACAGTAAACACCTTACGGTCACACTGCTGAGATCTCCACACCCCAGTCAGGGCACAGACGGAAAGGGAACAGCGACGCTCAACAAGCAGGCCACTCACACACAAGCTGAGAGGTCGGCTGGAGACTTTATTCAGGGAGTGTGGGAGGAGAGGGAGGGAGGGAGGGAGGGAGGGAGAGAAGGAGGAGGAGGAGGAGGAAGAAGAAGCAGAAGGAGAGAAAAGAAGAACAAAGAAAGGAAGGTCCTTTTATCATTTTGGGCTGGGCTATTGCTCATTTATGAGGAGTGAGCCACTTCTAACCTATCACAGGCCAGGTTGCCCTTTATGGGCCCAGCCCTGCAGACACAGGGTTCAGCTTCTCCGGACCACTGTGGCCTTGGTGGGAAGGAAACCAGACATAAGGGCCTGAGGTCATTTCAGGAGCCAAGAGGTACCAGGAGAATGCAGCCTGTGAGGCGGCGTCACAGCGTACCGTAACATGATCAGTTCCCGAACACAGATCACAGTCTGGATTTATGTACTGCTTGTTTCTTGGTTGAGTTTTTTTTTTTGTTGTTGTTGTTCTGAGACAGGGCCTCACTACATAGCCCAGGCTGGCCTCGAACTCCACAGTGATCTTCCTGCCTCAGCCTCCTGAGTGTTAGGATCACAGCTGTGAACCACCACACCAGTTCTGAACACATCTGTTGAGGTCTAAATCAACAGGGCCTTCCAAGCACACAAACCACACACAACTGGCCTTTGTTAAACCCCTGTGCCTGGACTTAAGCGATGTGCGTGGAATCTGAAAGATTCTGTTCCAAAGCCATGTAGAGCACTTGCCTCGTCTGCCCCAAGCCTGGGCTCCATCCCAGCGCCACAGAATGGAAAGAAAAAGAAATGAATCTGGCCGCTCTCTGGCTCTTGTGTGTTAGGCAGCAGCTGCAGAGCACCTGCAGGTCTGGCCGTGGCCAGCACTTCTGAGTGGTCCTCCCCGCGCTGTTTTGCTTGGCTCGATGCCCCTGGGATGCCAACTGTTGTGAAACTGGGTGGTGGGGTTGGAATCCAGGGCTTTGCCCCACTAGGTGAATGCTCTGCCACTGAGCCACACTCCCAGCCGTCCAGGACTCCTCCTCTTCTCCTTCCTGTCCCCTTCCTCGTCCTCTTTCTTCTCTTTTGACAAATTCCCAAGTCCAGGCAGGCCTGAAACTCACTATGTGACCCAGCATGAGCTCAAACTCACAGTGATCCTCCTGCCTCAGCCTTCCCAGGGCTGGGATTACAAGAGCCTGCACCACTCCCAGGTAGAGAAGATTCTAGCTTCTTTTAAAATAGAAGGACCTAATTCTAGCAGAAAGATGTGCAAGCCTCCTACCCTCCAGAGAGCGAGTGCAGGCAGCTGACTGGGCAGCCTTGGTGTTCTAGGAGCTCCGCCTCAGGCCTGCTGGCGGAGGCGGAGGCGGCCTGGCTGAGTGAGTGCAAAGCACTCCAGGTGCAGGGTTTTGCTTGCTCCCTGTCACAGGCAGGCGGAGAGAAGCTCTGAGGCCTGCCAGCCCGGGGAACACGTACAATGACCCCCATGGGCGGGAGCACAGGTGTGCGGAGGAAAGAGCAGTGTGGCCGCCCCTGTGTCCCGACAGAAAATATTCAGAGAGACGACTGTGTACAGGAAACACTCAAATTTTACTTTCTTGTCGTCATTCCGTGAGTAATAACTATTTACACAGCACTTGCAATGCATGAGGTATTAAAAATAACCTAGGGATTTTTGGTTTTGGAGTTTTGGGTTCTTTCTTTCTGAGACATGGTCTCACCGTAGTCCAGGCTGGCCTTGAACTCCCTGGGATCTTCCTGCCTCAGCCTGGAGGGGCTGGGATTGCAGACACAGGACGTTTCCGCGTATGGAAGGCTATGTGCAGGCCGTATGCAAATGCTCTCTCGGGAGTCGGTGTCGGCGGCGCCCTGGAACCGGTTCCCGCGGACAGAAGGGGCAGCTCAGTGGACGGGCGGGAAGGGGCCTGGGGGCTCGGGCGGTCCGGCCGGGCCAGGAAATGCCCGCCAG